ACTCCATCACAGTGGCTTCTGTGGTTCTATGTGCTATGGCTTGAAGTATTCAAGCATCAGTTCTGAAAAGCGCAACTCAGGTCGGCTAGAAGCGAGGTCTTCTATGGCATTGCGGCCCCTTGTTTGGACTTGGAGGGTAGTTGCTGCTTTTGGGTAACAGGGTCTTAACCTTCATTCCAGTTCCGAAATCTAGCTGGACGGATTCATGTGACTTTCTTCAACACGAGCTTGTAAGGTCGATGAAAACTGCTTTTTACGTCTTCAATGGCTTCGTACATACAGATTCTAATAGGTTTTATCCAGTTAATACTAATATGAACAGCACCGTATCATCGCACATGGAAGTTTCTCAACGCGAGCCGTATTTACTCCCTAAAAGGAGTCCCAAAACTCCTCCAATCCCTGTTTAGCCTTGCCTTAGAGATCCCAAGATACCGTCCCCAATTTGAGAAACCACTAAATCTTATTGGTATTGTATTTCTATCATGGTTAATGATTATTTTTTCTACCTATTATTCTTATTACTATTAGTATTATTACTACTATTGTTCGGACATTCTCAGAGGGAAGCCCCCTAAGACTCGAGTGTTGTGCCGAGGATGCCGTGCTTGGCTTTCACGGACCTGCCCTTCGGACCGCCGACGGATGGACGCCTAACAGCCTAACAGATGGATTGGGGCTTGGGGCTGGGGATTTAGGGTTTAGAGTTTAGGGGTGTTGAGTTTAGGGGCTTAGAATTTAGGATTTGGGGCTGGGGGCCAGGGATTTAGGATTTAGGGTTCAGGGTGTAGGTGCGTATCGTGATGCACTTGCCTAGTGGGCCATGGGTCTTGTCGTGTGAGCTCGTGATATTGGCAAACGGTAGCAGCAAACATTTTGGAAAGCTGGCAGCAAGTCTGTCATTGATGATTTAGGTCATGATAGCATGAAACACGGGCTGCAATCCCAACGCAGGTTCGACTTCTAAGATCCTTAGCCCCAAAGCCGCAACCTCAAATTCGAAGTTCTCCAGGGATCCTGTCCCAAAGAATAAAAGGAACACTTATGCAAGGAACTCGCAAGGGACGCTTTTCACAAGATTCTTAAGCCGTGATCGATGCCTTGCATCACGGGCGACTCCTGCAGCATGAGGTACGAAAGCCAATCCTAATGTAGGGGCCTAAATACTTACTGATATTATGGTTCCATATTCCTTGTATAGCTATAGTATATGGTACTTCAAATGCACCTCAAAATAATGTTGGTAATTATTTAGGCCCCTGTAGTATCGGTTTCATGCAACCACCGTGGGCATGTTGCGCAACCCATTCTGAAGCTGGCTGGCTACCGGATTTGTGCAACTTCAATCAGTTGAATCACCTAAACCCTAAACCTTAAATAGTAGTTTCCATTTCGTTCTCATTATCCCAATCTAACCCCGATATAAGCCCAGTACAACGCAACCAAATGGCAGCAAGCAACCGCAGTAGCCAATGCGGGCTGGAAGCCAGGGCAGGCAAGATGTTTACGTTCATAAGGCCATCCACATCCCTCAGCATCTTCTACTTGAGCAGGTATGTCACGCCAGGTAGTTACGTAGGATGTTGCCAGAATATCCACATCCCTCAGCATTTCTGTGAAAACATCTTTAGGCTTCCTGTACCAGATCATCCATGCCAGGGTGTCCATGTTGCCGGATGATTCCATCTGTGAACAAAATATAACCCTAATGTTACCCCAATATAACCCTGATATTACCTAGTAGCTTCCAGCTTATTTTCCATTATCCCAATATTAGTTAAATACCCTACCCCAAACCCGGCTTTTGCACCAGAAATTCGTGTAGTCTTAAGCATTCCGGGGGCTTCGCAAAATATTAACCCCCCTGGTAGCCATGGGGCTTCATCTGGTTCTAAACTCTATCGTGGTCTTTGAGCTGCCGCAGCAAGTCATCTTGAGCAGTTGCATTGATTTCTTCCTCGACGTCCAAGAATTCTGACTACCATGTAATCTCTTGAATGCCAAACAAATGGCGCCCAAGCTCCCATACAACAGTATAGCTTTACAAGAGAACGGGCATCTATGCCATGCGCAGAGAGGCTCGTTGGAAGAGCAACTTGCGCGCGATCACGAATCCTGAACGCACAGGCTCCCTTGCCCAGGGCTGCAGTGCAGGCCGCTGAGGGCTCTGCTCCTTCCTTGCCGTCTCCAAGATTTCTATTTCTTGACGCATGCCGTCTGCTCCAGCCTCTCACCCCCCCTCCCAGTTTCCCCTGTGGCAATGGACCCATGCACAGCCGTTGGCTTTTGCGCTTGGCTCTGAAATCTTTCTCAAGAGTTGTCGCCTTGCTGCAGCCATCTTGCATGCATCTCGGTTTTGCGGTCGTGCCGAGACGGCCGGCGCGCTTCCGTGCCACTTGCTTCATTGCCTACTTTACGTGCTGCTACACTACTGATATGACTGTTTCTTCCCGGCTCCCCCATGCCATTTGATTCACCAGTTGCTTTGCTAATCTCTGTTTTTGGAACCTGGCTTTACATCTTCTTTCCGGATCTGTGCATCAGTACACGAAACAGTGCGCGTTTCCGTGACGCGTAGTAAGGCTCACAATGGCTCACAAGAGTGCCAAAATGAGATTAATGTCTGCCTGATAGGCAAGAAGCATCGACGCGAAGCTTGTGCATTCGCAGGCATTCACTTTCGGTTGTCAAAGCTATGGTCGAGACTCTAAATCATAGGGGCCGTCTCATAAAGGGGGGGACCATGAAACGGACCATGAATTTCAACAACCTCCCGATTTGTCACTGCTTCACACCCTAAACCCAAAGCCCTTCCCCATGCGCACCGTTTTCAAGCTTTGGCTGCAAGATGCAGAAGTTACCTGCTCCGTAGCAAGCACACCCAAAATGGTAGTAAGTCATTGCTGGATATGATATTCAGACCCAAAAAGGAATATGGAGCATAGAACTTGGAATTACAATTTGAAGTTACCAGATTCTGAACCTCAAGCCTTAAACCTGAGCCTTAAACCCCGAACCCTGAACTCGAAACTGTAAACCCTGGATTCTCTTGGTGGAAAAGGGAGCCGCAAAAAATCTCTAAACCTTGAACCTTAAGTAAACCCTGTGAACCCTAAACGAACCTTAAAGGAACTCAGAATGAACCCTAGATGCATCCTAAACAAACCCAAAATGAACCCTGAACCTTAAACAAATTCAACATGAACCCTAAACGAACCGTAATTCCCAGATATCCAAGGAAGCTCATCCTCAACGGTGCGGGGGGGAGCGGACGGTGGTCGAATGAAACACGGTATCCTGGCCAACTCTGAGAATTGGGCTATTATGAGCCAGAGGTTATGTAGGGATAATGGAAAATACATGGAAAGTGCTATTTAGGGTTGAGGGCTTGGGGTTTAGTCTAAACTCCTTCAATTGATTGAAAGGGAGTTAAAGAAGGGCTTGTATAGGGGAGTACTGTAGGGGTTGTTGAGGGGGATGCTGGGAGTTTGGACTATAGCTCCATTGGGAATACTCAGTGGTGCAGGTGTTCAGATTGGTCCCAACTGAGTTGATGGGAGCTTCTGGAAGAATGTGCAAATCTTCGGGATGTTCAAGAGGTTTGGGAGTCTAGGGCTTGGGCTGACAAAGCGTGGTGTGAGAATCCAAGGGGCCTTGATAAAGCTCTATCGCCTCACTTGGGGGTACTACTCCATTGCAAACTCCATGTGGCAACCCTTTGCTCCTTACAAACGACCCTCTCCCCACCCACAGAATGATGTATGTTTTGGATACTGCGCTCCCTCTGTAACAGCTGGATAGTGAATCTAGTATGATTATATAGAGCCTTCAGTGTTCCCCCGATCATGGACAGTTGATTGGCGGGGGCAGTGCCCAATGCATGTTCTAAATTCCGTACTCAACAGCTGCTACAGCAAATGTCTGCCACTAGCTGGTGGCCCGCCATTACGCGGGATCATTTCATGATGAAGATTGATAGTTTTTTGGGTTTCCCTTTGCCGAACAGCAAACGGAGCTGTCGTTAGCATCAAGTCTACAAGCTGACAAGATCCGGCAACATAGCAACGCGGCAGAGGCTAGTGCTTTCAGCCTGGCCTCGAGTCTTCCAGAGGTTTCAGTGTAAATCGGTGGCAACTGTTCTTGCGGGTAGTGTGCAAGTGCTGCTGCTGCTGATGATAATCCTCAAAATGACTCTGATCACGTAGGATGAGGAGTAGGTAGCTCCCTCCCAGGCATGAAGCACCAAGATGTACGAGTCGGTACATATTGAGATGTAAGAGTGTTGGGGTGCCAAATTTTTGGAGGAAGACATGAATGCTGCTACTGACTTGTGTTCTGATTAGTTTCTGCGCCTGTTGGGGAGAATCATGTGGCAATGATTGGGCTTGGGCCGGCCAAGTCGAGCCTGGAAGCCGCTTGAGGGTAGACATGGGTATCTAAACAGAATAGAGCTATATTTGAAAAGGGGGGGTCTGCATTATGAGAGTCCTTTCCAAAAGATACCCCATTGTCACTGAGATACCAAACTGCATAGAGGGGTCGGTATATCAATCTGCAGGTTGCTCACAGAGAGAACTGCAGCGATTCCGCAGTTGCGGCGAAAGACTCTGGGCATATTGTGAGACATACACAGTGTTCCCCTAAAGGTGACCGAGGGCGGACAAGTATGTAGAGATGTCTCACGAGTACGGAGGGATCTCCCCTTATTGAGTCAGCGGAACCTTTACCCGCTTTGGGCAGTACTACTGCGGACGGCTAACAAAGTCCAATCTTTACAGCATGCGACTGCTACTGCCGATGGGAAACCTGACCGCCCCATCGAGAAACGCGACAGCTTATCCGGTCAGCCCTGCTCGCTTTGGATATCTGACTTGCACGTTGCCTGATAGCCTTGACACCATATTACTTTCTGCAGCTGCGAATGATCTGCAAAAAACTCTGCAGCTCACATTGATCCCCAAACAGGCTTTGTTTAGTGCTTGCCACGTTTCCTCGCAGAAATGGGAGCTGCAATTGCTGGTCTTGCCGTGGAGGAGATCATTCTGTTGGTCGTAAGTGGAGCTGCACTTACAACACTTGGAGTGTGCGGAGCAGTGGCACTTGCCAATTCCACTCAGAACTGTTCCTGCGGTGCAGCCCCCACCATCCCCCAGGCAAATTCGAAGAATTTCAAGATTCAAGCTGCCAGCGACATCTCATCGTTGTCATTGGTGTCTGCCAAGCTAATAGGGGAGACCGTGCAAAACTCCAAAGTTCCGTTCTCTTTCTCCTTCCTCATAGGCAAAGGAGATTCGAATGGCAAGCCCGCTTACCATGCAGGAGTCCTGATGGAGGGCAGCTTTGATGTTTCCGGCTCGGCTTTCAATTTCATGTTTGTTGACCGTTGGCAGGATGGCGTTGTGGTGACCTTTTACAAAACCAAGCAGCAAGCCCTTGACCGCTTGCGAAAAATCCGCGTGGGTGAGATTCCACTTACGGATTGCAGCGAAACACCAGAGTATGCTTCAATCTCACCAGCAACGGCCATGACAACATTTATTCATGATGAGTTGAAGCGGGTGCTTGACATGCGAAGCTTCAGCAAGCCGGAGGATTTGCAAAAGATGAAGCTGACAAACTGCATTGTTTTTGCAATGCGCGCAGGCATCTTGCTTGCAGCAGAGGAAAAGGATCACTTCTTGCAGCAAGCGTTATCCGCGATCAGTGATGACTGAGACCAAGATCCTAGCACATGAAGCCTGCGCGAGCTGTGGGGTTGTGGCTCTTTTTAGTTTCTGTCTTCCCAATTGAACTTGAAGCTTGCCAATAGTGCAAGAAGGATCTGGGAGTCCTGCAGGTCCCGTCCACATCATGTACAGTCTACTCCAAAAGTTCAGTTGGTGAAAAACATATGGCAGAGTGCAACGGCTTGACTAGAGCACATGCTATTCACGTGGGGACGCGAGCTTGCTATAGGTGCAGGGGTCCTGACTCGTTGTCCTGGAACCTCACGTGGCAGGCTCATCGTCATCCTGATGTCTACAAGTCCAGGCTCGACAAGCCGAGCCAGCTCGACATCTACCAGTGCCTAGTGTGGTTTGTGGGTTGGGTTCTCGTTACTTGCATCAAAAGCCCGCTTAGACCCTGAAAACAAAATCAGAGGCCACATGTGCATAAATCTTTAGACATGCAACAGAAGCTCGTATAAGTACCATAAAGATTGCGGAAACAACGCAGAAAACACAGCAAGACAAAAGCAAAGCACAACAGCAAGTTTGACCGCTCAGGTTTAGTCTACACGCACTGCAAGTAGCAAGCTACTTGTGCGACTCTTTCGCAATCCACATGATGGTGAAACAGTTGTTGTTTAATCATTATGTTTGCGCTTCTGTTTTGAGCCACCCTTTTTCCTAGAAACTGGGGTCGTGAACCTACGTACTATTTTCGCGAATCAGATGCACTGTAAACAATTCGTGACATTCGCTTTCAACTATAGTTTCTGTTCTGTATGAATACTGTGTCTGCCCAACGCTATTTTGTTGGGCCGTGTTTGCTTCGCAGTCACCAATACATTTGAAGTAAAGATATCGGCTGTGGGTTCCATATGAGAGCCCATACAATCAGAAATTCTTTGTTCAGAGTCCGAGTTTCTTAAATGATTCGTATTGTGTTCCTGTTTTGTCTCGTAAATTGGTGTCAGTGTAGAACTTCGGTGGTTTTGTGGCGTGACCGTTCCACAAAATATCATAACAATTTCTAAGGTCACTATGGATTTTTGCTGGCAACGGGTAGTAGTCTCTCCATTCAGTGGGTGGCATAGCCTTCTTGTATGGTGGAAAGTGGAAATGGCTCTGTATCAAAAAAACAGTTTGTATGTGTGTGTGGGTTCTTTTTGATTCTTTCCGCTTACTCTTGTAATTCTTACACGTGCTTATCTTCATCTGTTTTAGTTGCATTCACACTTGTTCATGCTATATCCCTACACATTATTTTTTCATTCATGCACTCTATCGCATGTTCTGCATCCAGTACAGTTGCACTTGCAGATTGTTTGAATGGCACGCTCGCGTATTGGCAACTGACTTGTGTTTTCGGTGAAATTGCGCCTTTGGCACATGCTCACTTTGTCATTCGCAGTTGCTTTCATGTCAACAACATTTTGCAAGCCAGTTGTCATTTTGATCGGTTCGGTTTCCGTGAACATGTCCATGATAATACGTATAGAAAGTTTTGTCTCGAAATGTCAGCGAATTTCAGAAGTCAACTGGAATACTAACATCATCATTATTAGTGTTCGTATTGTCGCAGGTTTCAGCCTGCTATATACGTGTGCTTTTTGTCTGTGACAAAATGTGGTTGCCAGAGTCGTATCCAGTTTGCTATGTCAATCACAAGAATGTTTTTCAACACATAATTCACACATAATCTTCGTAGCGTTTCCTGTTTGTCATGTTTTCCATGGTTTCATTTGTGTATTCGAAACCAAAATTATTTCTGGCATTTGTGCGAAATTGTCTCTCGTAACTATCGAACACTTGAAGCAGCGCTATTCATTAAGAGTTTGGACGGGGTTTTGTGCCATCCGGGTGACCTGTCATTTTTTTGAAGTTATGTCTTCTTTTTGTTGTTTTCAATTTGTGTAATGAAGACTCACAAAGGAAGGTAAAGATGCAAGGTAGTTGGTTGATGGGCCCGAGAGACATGTCTATGTTTTTCTTGACCGTAACCGCTTCTGTGTGCCTTGTGCAGTTTACATTCAAGATCAACGTCAAATGTTTCCACAGAATTTTCGAGCATGTGGACACATACTTTATTAAACTACATTCTTCAGAATGTAACTTCTGCGAACTATTAAACAACATAATAGTATGTTTGACTCAACTTGCTCAATCCTCGCAATCGTATCAACATTCTTACTCCAATTTAAAATTTGCTCTTTCTCATCTTGCTTTTGAACCGTGAACATCTTGACTCTATCACCTTGCTCAATCGATAAATCCTAATTTTCTTCCCTCCGCTTGCCAAATTCAGCGCGACGGCCAATTTGTTGCGTGGTTTTCTCGCCTCTGCTTGTGTGAAGCCTGCAGCAGAAGGTTTCATTAGGGTGCTATATGTAACCAATATCTCCAACATGTAATCATCCATTGAAGTACGTTTCGCCTTTTTGTTCATTAGCCTCAGCTCTTTCATGCAGCATATCGTTGACAATTCCTCATAGTTTCTTCGCTCGAATTAGGATGCGCTCCCTCTCGGTGGAGTTTACTTTGTGTGCCTCTAAATATTTAGCAAAATATCTAGCATGGTCATACCACCTCATGTCCTCAATAAAGAGCAATTCCATGTGATACTCATATGCCGAACTCGGTGCGATGAAGCTGTTCCGCCTCACATTTTTTTTTCTGCTCTCATTCTTCTTTTGCAGAGTTTTGCTCCTGTACTTCCTGTAATGCTTGGCTTTTGCTCCCAAATTCTCCCCGGCCATACTATGCATGCTTTAGAATGTCTTGTTTTCTCCTACAACAACTGTAGTAATCTTGTGTCTAAGATTAAGGCAGCACTCTCCTGCTGACATGGGCATGGTAATTTTTACGTTGTTTATGCGATGCTCAGCACTTTTCTTGCTCTGCTGCTAATTGCTCTTCAGCCAAATCCTCTGGTGCGGTATTGATATTGTTGTCGTTCAGGTGTTGTTTCAACTTCTTCTTTTGAATGCACGTCAGAGCAGAGTCAAGCTATTTCTGCATGTGCCGTTCCTGTTGTCTTCGCTTGCAGTCATACAGTCGGTTGCAAATTGACAAGTGCTCTCTTACCGCTTCCATGTCCACATCCTCTGGGCTTTTCAAACACATACAGCTAATACTATACAATTCATCACATTTTTTCTTTCAATGGTTTTTGAAAACACCGTCCCGCAAAAGGCTTAGTTTTTCAAAGTGTATCAATCCTGATAAACCGACATTCGAATAACGCGTAGCGCATAATCTACTTATATTGACATGAATGACAGCATCCAACGTGGTGTTAAAAACATAGGAGAGAGTATACGCGTCTTCATAAAGGCAGACGTGACAGAGCAACCAAAGCAAAATCAGGACTTTCGCATTTCAGCGCTGCAGACAAACTAATCAGGAATTCTAGCAATGCCAAGACAGATAAGCAAAACAACAGGCAAACGACCAATACAGCAAGGTACACGAAAAAACGGCAGGGAGAAGAAGCCATTTGGAGAAACAATATAGACAGCAAAGCACGACAACAAACTCACAGAACTCCGCAGAACAAAAGACGGCAGTCCAGCGAATACAGGAGAGCGTGAGAACAGAATAATACAAAGCAAAACATTCACACTCTGTAGACATTCTTTTCTTCAGGTTAAATTGACCAATGACTCCATTAAAACAAAAATCCAAACCACTTACAGTATCTTAGAGGTGTCATCGCGCAGACGTGTGTTGCAGTACGAGGCCAAAGACTGGTATGAGTTAAAGAAAATCATGAAGATACTGTGTTTGACCCAGATATAGAGCAAACTCTTCGCTTCATCCAGTCATATATAGCTTCATCAAAGTTAAGGATGCAGGCAGAATAGATGGTGACACGAATATCATACCGGTGGACGAGAAAGTAACTAACATATCTCTTGTGAGCATGTTCCCAGACACCCTGTTGGGAGAAGACCGCGGAAAAAGCAGAACCAGAGAGAGCATACTGAACCTGCTAGGTACGTCAGAATGGGGTTTTATACAACCAGTGTATCAGTCAAGGACATGGTTAAAGTGTTTGAGCATCACGGGATACACATGCTTCGAGACATGGACTTTTAGACATGACCCACCTCAACGAGATCATCATATCCCCACATTTTATGCCATAGTGGAGAACAAACAGTTACACACACAGTACCTGCTAATCTGCACGTATTCAAGCACATGCTGCCAAAACATTGGCGTATGACGCAGCAGTGGAAGGTTTTCCTCATTGCCACTATGAAAGATAAGGAAGAACCCGTGCAAATTAAAACCAAACGACATAAACAAATCGATAAAAACGCGGCGTATATTCTGATATATGCTGGACACAACCTAGCCGAACTTTCTATGCGAGTCAACAGACAGGGCACGGACTGCACTTAATTTCAGCGCAGATATGGTATCAGAGCTTCATTTCAAATTCTTGATAGAGCAGAGGGTCATCAAAAACAAGGTTAAGATGCAGAACTTAGTAAATCGCGCCGTGGACAGGATGATATCATGGAGAAATGAGCGGATTTATGATAGCATGTCTAAAGCAATATACGTGTGGAATATGTCTTCGTTTCTAATCCACCACATACGTCATACTAGATCACCAATTGCATTGAAATTTGGAGCGTTCAAACACATGAACAGATACACTCACGATCAGGAAGGACAACTTTAATCTAGCCAAGAAAGTGCCATAATGTAATGGGCATGTTGGCCGGTGGAGGGCAAACGTACACGCCTCGATACCCATGCTTACCGAGCAAGAATGAGACCCTGTCTATAGCAGATAGCAGATGAACACTTAACAGATAGCAGCGAGTGTGGCAACACACAACCCTCTTATGATGCGGTCTAAACCTGCAGGATTGGGTTCGTCGCATGTAGCCAACCCTTTTCCAAGCGGGGTTACAAGACTTTGTCGGTAGTTCTGCAGAACAACATCTCGCAAAGTTTAGAAACGAAACAGCAAGAACAAACAAGTTTTCCTCCCT